ACGCCCGGCTAGTTTTTTGTATTTTTAGTAGAGACGGGGTTTCACCATGTTAGCCAGGATGGTCTCGATCTCCTGACCTTGTGATCCACCCGCCTCGGCCTCCCAAAGTGCTGGGATTACAGGCTTGAGCCACCGCGCCCGGCCTCATATTTCTTTTTTTTAAATAGTCTCACTGTGTCACCCAGGCTAGAGTGCAGTGGCACAATCTCAGCTCACCACAGCCTCTGCCTCTTGGGCTCAAGGGGTCCTCCCACCTCAGCCTCCCAAGTAGGTGGGACTACAGGCACACACCACCATGCTTAGCTAATTTTGTTAATTTTTTTGTAGAGCTAAGGTCTCACTTTATTGCCCAGGCTGATCTCAGACTCCTGAGCTCAAGTGATCTTCCCGCCTCGGCCTCCCAAAGTGCTGGGACTACAGGTGTGAGCTATGCGCCCGGCCAATTTTTGTATTTTTAGTAGAGATGGGGTTTCACCATGTTGGCCAGGCTGGTCTCAAACTCCTGAGCTCAAGTGATCCTCCTGCCTCGGCCTCCCACAGTGCTGGGACTACAGCTGCGAGCCACACACCCGGCCCTCATACTTTCTGTTAGTCCTTTCAAGTGGGATCTTCCAAAGAACTACCAGACATAAGAAAACAAATACTTACAATTTTTTTCATAAATGAGGTCTTTTTTCTATCTCCAGTTCTGGGGATGCACGCCGTTGTTTTTTGAGGCTACAGCTGAGCTGGGGAGCAGAGGATAAAACCAGAGCACATTAAAAAACGACAAAATTCACCGTTCTCACCAAGATTCGAGATTTTATGTATCCCATTTGCTATCCGTCTCTTCTGCTCTGAAAGAACTGCTCCAGGGCAGAGATTTCTTGTGAGTTTTGCTCACTCGTGTATCTCCAGGGCCTGGCACAGGATTTTGTTGACTGAGTTTCTGGCTGTGAGCCTGTGATGCTGAGTGCACGAACGTGGGGGCAGGTGTGGTTGTACAGGTGTGGGTTCAGATGGGAGTGCCGGTGAGGGATGTGGCTGTGGCTCTTCAGACCTGGGGTGTGATCAGGGCCTACAGGCCACAGCCAGGATGCCTCCCTGTCTCCCTGCAGAAGCGGATGCAGCAGATCATGGCCCACTGCTTTCTGGCCGCCAAGTCCAAGCTGGAGTGCAAGCTGGGTTACTTTGACCTCATCGGCTGTGACTTCCTGATTGATGACAACTTCAAGGTGCTCTCCTGGGTGGCGGGGGCACGGGAGGCAGATGCAAGGAGGCAGGGGCCATCTGCACACACCCTAACCACACTGGCAGGCCCCAGGCAGACACTGCAGTCAGCCCCCACCCTGCCTGCATGCAGCCCTGGGGATGGATGTATCCACGAGGCTCACCTCCTATGCAGCTGGGACAGACCTGCACCCCCTCCTCAGGGCAGCCCCTCAGGCCAGAGCTTCAGACCCTCAGAGTTTCAGTGGACAAACAGGGGAGCAACGCTATAGAAAGGAAGCAATCTCCCAGAGCCACCTGGCTGAATGAGGACCAGGGCCTCTGCCCTGCTGGCCCAGTGGGCTCAGGGTGGGGAGAATCTGACTGGCGTCTGGTGCAGGTATGGCTGCTGGAGATGAATTCCAACCCAGCCCTGCACACCAACTGCGAGGTCCTGAAGGAGGTCATCCCAGGTGTGGTCATCGAGACCCTGGGTGAGCCCTCCAAGCCCCCACCCCACACCCCCACAGCCTGCCCAGTCTTGAATGCCCACCCGCCCTCTTCCCAAGTTCAGATCCCCACAGATGGGGCTATTCCACCTTCTGTGTGGCAGCGCCGCCCCTGCCCCCACC